TCTTTCCCTGTTTTAAAAACGTGTTTTACATGTGTTTTAACATAAGGTTGTCAGAGTTGTCCTTATAGGTGTTTTGTCCATCTTATATGTTAAAGTCTAAATTAAGATTTTCTCCTCATGCACCTTTGTTATTTGTCTTTAATTTCTGCAGCTGTTTCCAAAGATTATGATGGAATTGGAGACATATGTATGACACAGAAACACACTCACAAAGTAGACGTAAGTTGAAAAACAGGTGCCCTCCCTAGTTTTGTCATACCAAGCTAGTGGCTAAACCACATTCCAGATACCCAGGAAATATTTAAATTATTTATTACCTCTGTAGTAATTTAGGTTTAGAGTAAAAAAATGATATCATTCTGCTGATTTTATTTCTCGTCACATAAGCCGCACATAAAATTTTAAGGTTATAGACTATAAATATATATGACAATTGCATGGTTCGACTGTACTGTGTTTGAATCATTGCAATGATTTGAATTAATCTGACTCATGTATGTATGTGCTCTGTTGCTGGAGGAGGAATGTAAAAACAATTTCTGAACACATGAATGAAATGTCAGACAGATGATATTGATGGGTGTGTAGGTAGTAAATATCACTGTCTTCTATTTCCCCTCTTTCCTTTCTGTCCACTATGCTCGTTCTGCAAAATGTACATACAAAGAGTGAAATTGTTCACTTTTTATAGACATTTGTACATGCAGACCAAGGACTGGAATTAAAACTTTTTACCACATGAAAATAACATTTTCACTTTTTTTTGTACAGTATGCTTATCATTGAATGCACTACATAATAAGAATTAAATGTGACAGAATACCAAGACTCTCTCAGGATATTGTTTGCATACTTATTTGTACAATTTGGTTCAAGTTGGACAAACAGCATGTGCTAACTATGCAAAGAGAGAGAGACAGAGAGATAGAGAACAAAGCAAGAGCTTTCATTTGTGGTAAGCACCAAAAGCACTGGAAATCATGTTGGCAGCTGTGCTCATGTTACTTGCATTCGTTGTATTAGTTGTTTTCAACTAATACAGTGATGTATATAAAATGATGTACATTTTGGAATATTTTCAGTTGATAAACACCAAAATCATGATATTTTGTTTTAGGTTCTCTCGGTAAACATCATATAGCAGGACCCTTTCACCTTGCACTGTAACACATTTGATGCTGAATCTGCAAGTCACTGACTGTCTGCTTTTTGATGCTTGTGTTTGACCTTGTTTTACCTTCGGGACACAAATGACTACACCCAGAAAGTGTGTGTGTGTGGGAGGGGGGGTGTGTGCATACGTGTGCGTGTGCATGTCGGGGGTAGGGACAGAGAGAAAGCTTGCTTGTAGGTTTTGTGTATGTGGGTGGATGTCTGTGTGTGTTGGGGAGGGGATGGGTCAGTCTCCTGTCCCCATTGAGCCCCATGCCTCCACCTAAGGGCCATTAAAGCCCTTTGTGCTTGTGGACAGTGGAAGGAAGGCAACCATTGGTCCTGGGATGAAAACCCGGGTAGGTAGAAGGTCTATGATGGTTGGTGTCAAAAGCAGGGCTGTTAGGAGGAAAATCAAAAAGCCATCAGACTTGTTTGCAGGAGACGATTGTGCTGCTCAACAGGAGGGACGGTATTTAGATTCCAGTGCTAATACTTTATCAAAGCAGTAGTTGGAGACTGAGATTTATTCCCATCATATCTGAAGTTCATTTATCAACTTTCTCTGAAAAACATTACAGTTGGGTGAGATTATAGTTCCATTATTCACAAAGTTCTTTATAACATGAGAAAGACACCCATTTTTCGGGGATTTTTAATAAAATGAGGTTCTCAGAAGTGTTTATTTTGTAACCATGTGAACCACTAATCGAAACCAATAGTCTTATCTTGAGGTGACAAGCTAGACCAATGTTTCATTTTCACAGGTTTTATTTATAGACATGAACAATACCGCAGATGAAAAACAAGGTATATGTGGTATAGAAAAAAAAGAGAAGATAAAAAGGAACAAGAAAGATAAATATAAAAAAGAAAGAAAGGGTTACATTTGTAAAAACTTCACAAATGATGAGACAATTTCATCTCCAAATTGTAGAGATGAAAGACTTTGAATCAAAGAAGAAATTGGGGATCTGTGAAGACATTAAATTGTTGTAACCATTAGTTTACACATTTAGGATGGTGTTTTTATCATAAAGCCACAGTCACAGCAACATTTTCACAAAACACCATCACCTGCTTAGACATCAGATTTCAACCGCAACAACTTTCTTAAAGCAGCATTAATTCTCAGCCATATGATCAGGGGAATTTGGCCTGTAATTAAGACAGCAATGCCACTCAGTGTGTTATATCGCACATACGCCCACAGCTTTCCAATAAGTGTACACAGCTCATGTTTAGAAGAAGAGCAAGAAGATGGAAAACAGAACACCCAATGGGGTGTCTAAAATGTACAACTAAAGTCTGACATTTTTGGGTTTACTTTGGTCAAGTTGCTCAAGTTAGAGGTAGTGTTCTCTACACTTGTGTCTCATTCACACTCTGCTGTATCAGAAAGCTTTTATCTCAAACTTTCTTCATTGACTGGACCTGAGCAGCGAGGGGACCTCTGAGGTGTCTTGAAAAGACCACTTAAAAGGAAGTAAAGACAAGATCTGAGGCACTTCAGGGGGGTGGGGGTGCTCAACTAAATCCCTAGATACTCTCCTCACACATCTCCTCCTCACTGTACTGAGCCATTTACCACTCCCACCCCCCGGACACCCTGAGAGCTCTCTGCTGTCCCTTTTTCTCTGAAGCCCTGCCTAAAATCAGCCCTCTCTCTTGCTGTCTGCCCTTTGCATAACAATTATACTCCCAAGTCCATGACCCAAGACAATACTTGCATAGTTGGGGTTTGATGTCTTTTAAGCTATTGACCAGGCTCCTGTGGTCTCCTCAAAGTTCCCTGGTCTTGGACCTACATGGCCTTGTATTTGAGAGGGCAGAGAGAGTGCTGATCTGCTGGTTACAGTCTATAATGAGATGATTTTTGAAGTGCAAAAGAAAATATTTTGCCTAATGGAGGTTAACAATAAGGAACCAACATGCTTTAAGTGTAACAAAAACTGTATTTCTGTTAGACATCTACATTATCATTATCCATTTATTTGTTTTACATTTACATGTACTTTTTGCCTCTAAGCCTTCTCTGATGAATAATTAAACTGCACACTGTGACATAATTTAATCAAACTGTTTACCAGCCAGGTACCACCTTAAGGGACCGGAAAGCAAAAATAAATACATAAAATAAAGACATTTTGTTCACTAAACCACAAAAGCGCCATGAATTCAAGCTGGATACCACCCAGTGCCAGAGGTATTCAATACAACTTGTTTATTGCAGACAGCACCTTGGTTCTCAGACCAGTTTTGGTCCTTTAGGACATATCAGACTGGATGTCAAGGTATTCGTCCTTGGTGAACCCGGACCTGCGGATCAGAGTGAAACTTCAACCTGGCGTTTGTTTCTGCGGACAGAAGGAGGGGGAGGAGGTGGGTGTAGGGCGGAATCAAAGGGTTGAGACTTATTGTTCCAATCTGAAAAGGAGCTAATGGTCGACCATCGCAACTCGGGATCTGAAATCCACGGGGTGTCCCGGGGCCAGGTAGAACAATGGCACCCCCTCTCCCTCCCCGCAGTGCGTCTTCCTGCCGCAATCTGCGGCCAACGACTCGCGCTGGGGGAGCGCATCTGTACCAGTGATCGGGCCATCCAAACTTTTGAATGGCCGCCTATCAAGGGTGAATGGGAGACGTTCACCTGAATTCTGCTGGTGGTTTTGTTATTTAACTATCTGTTTTCGCCATTTGTAATTTAGCAAGAAATGCAGCATTAAAAGTGGCCAAAACGTCGGTGTCCAAATCAGCTTGAAATGGAACGTTAGATCTATTGGGTGCAAATATTCAGCTCCATAAAGTAATACTGAGACTTAGTCTAAGTCTAAGTCTTTTGAATGTGGGGGGGAAAATGTAATGGAAAATAATCTAACTCATGTTTCAAAGACTTAACACACCTAAGACAGGGCTTATGCATTTGCTTAAAAATAACTTTAGTTTTTTTTAAACGAATACACCTTCAATCTAAAGGCATCATGTGCAGCTTTCATAACAAGCCTAAAAGCACTTCTTTATGTGCTACTATATCACATGCTTTCTAAATAATGTCAACTCAAGTAGACAAAAATCTTTTCTGTCATTTACAGTATGTGTTGCTAATTTATGAGCTATCAAAACATTCTTAAAACCACAAATTAACCTGGTACTCATAAAACGCAGCCGGATTAATGTTTATGCCTATTAGGAATTGCAATGTCCGTGTACTCTATTTAGTTTAAACGTTAATGATTAAAACGAATAAAGGTCTGGTTGACGCTTTAGTGACAGAAAGTTTTAATATCAAAGGCCCCTTCTTAAAGGGGAATAATTTAAACAAACCCAGCATTATAATTCATGTAGGAGGTGAGCAATTTATAGTGTATGTATTGACGGGCGCAGTGACCCGTGCCTCTTTAGCAATGTAAATAGTCTTTTAATTGTTGAATTGTTGATATTTTACTGAGCATTTATTTTACATTGCATACAGTATATGAGTTTTGATTTTGACTTTAAATGCAGAAAACATAGCTGCTCTGCAGCAAAATTATCTATTTAAAACACGCCCACTAGTTTGAGAAGAATCAAGGTCATTCACAAACTCACCCTCAGCTGTGCGCGATTGTCTGCGCCAGCCAATGGATGAAGAGATAAGGTGCTCCAACGCCAGCAGCTGTGATCCGGAAAACCTGTTGAGTTGGGATAGGCCAGGGGCATTTGAGCTCTAAGGTGAGCTGTGTGGCTTTATGGAGTAGGCCGCAGCGTACTGGTGGTTATGTTTTACTCAAACCGCAGATGCTTAGGCCTGCATTTTTGCACAAAACCCTGCAAAGCAGTTTTTGTC